ATTTTGGGGGAATTTTTTAGGGAATTTTGGGGAATTTTAAGGGAATTTTGGGGAATTTTGGCCTCTCACCTCTTCCCGGGGGCGCTGGGCGAGGCCTCCCTGCAGAAAATTTGGGAATTTTGGGACCTGGGAGGGGAAATTTGAGATCCCCCCTCCCAAAATCCCAAATTTTGGGGTCCCTGAATCCCCCAATTCCCAAATTTCCCTCCCAATTCCCAAATTTTGGTCCCAATTCCCGAATTCCGGGTCCCAATTCCCAAATTTTGGGTCCCAATTCCCGAATTTCGCTCCCAATTCCCGAATTTTGGTCCCAATTCCCAAATTTTGGTCCCAATTCCCGAATTTTGGGTCCCAATTCCCGAATTTTGTTCCCAATTCCCGAATTTTGGTCCCAATTCCCGAATTTTGGGTCCCAATTCCCGAATTTTGTGTCCCAATTCCCGAATTTTGGTCCCAATTCCTGAATTTTGGTCCCAATTCCCAAATTTTGGGTCCCAATTCCCGAATTTTGGTCCCCATTCCCGAATTTTGGGTCTCTCACTTGGCCGGGGTCTCTCCGGGTCCCTTTCCCGGCTCCTCCTCCAGCGGCTCCCTGGGAAAACCCAAAAATACCCAAAATCACCCCAAAAATATCACCAAAAACACCCAAAATAATCCCAAAAATCACCCAAAAAATACCCAAAAAATACCCAAAATAATCCCAAAAATCACCCAAAAATACCCAAAATATCACCCGAAATATCACCCAAAAAATACCCAAAATAATCCCAAAAATCACCCCAAAATTACCCCAAAATGTCACCCACAAATACCCAAAATCATCCCAAAATTCACGCCAATAATACCCAAAATCACCGCAAAAATCACCCCAAAAATACCCAAAATAATCCCAAAAATAACTCCAAGAATACCCAATATATCACCCCAAAAATAACCAAAATCACCCCAAAAATATCACCCAAAAAATACCCAAAATCAGCCCCCAAATACCCAAAAATAACCCAAAATAGCCCCAAAACCCTCCCAAAAAACCCCAAATACCCCCAAAATTCCAAATCGCCCCAAAAGTCCCCAAATCCCCCAAAATTTCCAAAAATTCTCCAAAAAATTCCCCAAAACTCCCCCAAAAAACCCCCAAATTTGCCAAATCTCGCCAAAATCCCCCAAAATTCCCCAAAACCCAAATTCTTCCCAAAATCCCCACAAAAAAAATCCTAAATTCCCCCAAAATTTCCCCAAAATTCTCTAGATTCTCCCAAAAATTCCCCCAAAATCCCCAAATTTCCCCCAAATTTCCCCCAAATTCCCAATTAAAAACCCAAAAATCCCCCAAAATTCCCATTTTCCCCCAAAATCCTCCCAAAAATTCCCCAAATCCTCCAAAATTCTCCTAAAATGCCCCAAATTCCCCAATTTTCCCCAAAATCCCCCCAAATCCTCAATGAAATTCCCAAAAATTCCCAAATTTCCCACAATTTTCCCCAAAATTCAAAAAAAATTCCCCCAAAACTTCCCAGCATCCCAATGAAATTCCCAAAAAAATTTTCCAAATTCCCCCCAAAATTCCCCAAGTTTCCCAAAAAACCTCCCAAAATTCCCTAAATTGCCCCAAATTTCCCTTCAAAATTCCCAAAACCCTCCAAAAATCCCTGAATTTCCTGAGACCCCCAAAATTCCCCCCAAAAT